GCCTGTGGGTTTCTGACGAGGGATGAGATGGGTGAGAAAGTAGATAATATTTACATTTGCATTTTTGGTGATTTGGCAGACGCTCTTGTCCAGAGCGACTTGCAGGAGCGATTGGGGTTGAGTGCCTTGCTCGAGGGCACATCGGCAGATTTTTCGCCTGGTCGGCTCGGGGATTGGAACCGGCGACCTCTCGGTTGTTGGCGCGGCGCTACTGATCACTAAACTGCCTGCCGCCCCATATGAGTTTAAGGTTGTGGCTTTGTTTGATCATGTGATAAGGTTTAATTTGTAATCGGACCATAACTAAAGTGGTTATAGAAGTAATGTATAGGTAGGGGAGAGCCAATAGGGGGCTCCATTGAACTATTATGGTTTATTTGGCATTTCAATGGCATAAGGTGAAATCTGTATGCATGAGGGGAATTCGATTATGTATTATTATAGTATTATGGACACTCCGTAATAAATAAACTGAACCAAAAACAAGACGTTACCACAGCAATAGAGAATAGTTAATGTTGTTACGTTAGTTCTTAAACCCGATGATAGAGGTAAATGCAGAACGCTGTCAGAGTGTGTTTTATTTTTGTTACTAGGGTGTTTGAGACGGAAGGGCTGGCTAGACGGGGGTGATGACGTGGCTGGATGTGCGACGTGAAAGTATTTACTTTGAGAGAATCGTAGATGGTGTGGAGTGACTGGCGATGTCCCTGGTTCGAACACAGGTAGGGACAGTAGACAAAGCTTTCGCAGTGGGGCTATATACCTAGATTACTATGTGGATTGAGAAATGTGAAAGCTTGAATTAGATAGCTTAAATAGAAGTATTCTAGAAAAGTCTATGAAAATATGTTATATGGTTACCATGCGCTCTCCCCGAAGGAGCAAGGGGAGGGTGAGAGACAGTACAGTTCAGATGGTAGGAACATCATTAAATGTATGCTAATCAACGATAGCAAGTATTTGTTTTTATTAATTAGGGCATAATCAGAGAGAACAGTTAAATAAATTGAATAGCGAACTGAAATGGTTTAGCGGGAAAATATAAATTTTTGGTACATGTAGCAGAGTTAGGGTAATCAATTAAATAATCATTGTATACTCGAGGAATTTTGAGTGGTTTTATAGATTAGTTATGAGGAATTAGATTGATACAAACAATTATTGATGGATTAAGACTGGGGATAACCAGGAGAAAGAGATTAGCTCATCTCGTTGGAATGTTGCCAAGGGCTAGGGGGAGCAGTAGTGAAGTTAGGCAGTATTTAGGTCATAAAAGTGAGCTACCAAATTAAGGCCTGGCTATTTGTGGTTGTTTTTCAAATTGGGTTTTTCAAACAAAAAACAACACACCTAGTATGATGTTTATAAAGCCTTGTTGTTTCAATTTTGGGGGGTTTCAGCAGGTCAAGGGTGATAGGTCTTAGAGGAGCACACAGTGAATTTTATGGAGTTTTTTAGCTTTTGGCTGAGTTTGGGGTATATATGATTTCTTATGAGAATGAATGTCATGAGGATTTAATGAACACTTGGGATAACTAACATTTATGAAATATTTAGAATAATGGTAATGTTTAGTATACTATGGGATTAAACAGTTCGTTAAATGATTTCAATTGCCTCTGAACTCTGTTTTAACCTTCTGGTGTTAATTAATCATCCACACTAGTAAATTCTAAAGGCATGAGAGGAGGATTTTAAGATAGTTTATTTTACTAAGTTGAGGGTAATTTATAGTACTGTGAAAATTGTGAAGAAGATTATAATTTGGTAATAATATATTTGATTTGAACCATAAAATAACAGAAGACAGAGTGGAGGAATGGCAATTGGATAATGAATTACCAATATTAACTAAAGTGATTGTTTAGATAGGTGGTAATATTGACACATGGCCAAATCATGTGTCAAAAAGGGGGAATGGTTGGATTAAATATTAAATATATACGAAGGAGAGGACAAAATACTTTAAAAAAAAACAAAAAAACATGTATGATAGTTTATTAACCACACCTGTATGTCAGAGGTTTTGTGCCCCACAGGTGAACTAAAGGAGAAGGTGACCCACTCTATCTAACCAGGAGACTGAAGCAGGCCTGGCGGGAAGGGCCCTACCAAGTACTGCCTTTGCCAGCAGAATAGCTGAGAGATCCATTTGGGTGCATGTCACTCACTGCAAAAAGGTAAACCCAGCTACACCTGACGAACAAACACAGAGTTAGGAGAAAGATCCGATCACCACTAGGGCTCGGGGGTTGGCTCCTTAACGAAGATTCCCTTACCCTGTCTGATCATCCCTGTGTGAGTTCGATAGAAGGTGAAGCAATGGGTTGGCCTCTGGCGTCTGACATGTTCTCAGGGCGAGGGTGGGGATTCACAGGTCTCTCGACGGTAGGTAGCTGTCTGATTGTGGGGGCCATATTCCTAACACACACGGACCCTCCTGTTTCAGCCAGAAGTGGTAGTTAACCTAACACAAGTTGAAAAGGCATAGGAGACAGCTAGACGTAGGAAAAGGGGAAATACTAGGGACTTTAGGGAAGGACATCACCAATCTCCATACACAGTTTAGGGACAGGTGGAGTATTGTGAAAGTAGGGAATTATCAGAAATGGCAGTGCGACCCATATGAGGGTAGGTACTGTCTGAAAGTCTGAATTATGCTAAAACAGATTACAGACCTGACAGGTGAGATATATTCTTCAACTGGGGCACCCTATAGAGTAAACCTGTCTGAGGGAGGTAGTGAGATAGTGCAAACTATAGACCTGAAGGAAGTAGTACAGATGGAGACGGAGTAAATAGATTTTAACCTGTGGTTGGAATGGATTCAGTATACGGTCTAAAGAGGACTGTTATGCCTGTAGGACAGCCAAACCAGGGTTAACAACTACTCCGTTCCCCTTGACAGGCTTTGACTCTCTGTCAGGTTTATCCTCCATGCAAGCCACCTGGGAATGTGGTGAAAGAGTCTTATGGTAACTTGCACTATCTGTTTCCCCCGATAACAAAGTCATCCCGACCTGGGTTGCCTCAGTTTGAAGTCACAGGGGATTCTTATTGTTTTTCTAGGACTAATAAGATAGGATACAGGGTAGGGCCTCTTAGCTCCTGCTCCCACACAGAGAATATCACAACTAAAAGAGACCATGACTAATCTCTCCTCTTTGTTGCAGCCAGAGGATTTTAGGAACCAAAACCAGACCCGTGCTGACATCTGATGGTTGTGTGGTGATAACTGATTGTGAACTCACCTACATACGCAAATAATCAAACGTGTCAGAGACTGGTGAGTTGTCACATAGAAAGTAGGACCTCCTCCTGGGATCCTTTGATGAAAGGATATATATTGATGGGATAGCAGTACCCAGAGGGGTTCCAGAACAATTCAAAGCTAGGAATCAGATCGCAGCTGGGTTTGAATCAAGTATTTTCTGGTGGTCAACAATTAATAAAAATGTAGATTGGATAAATTATATTTAATATAACCAGCAAAAGATTTATAAACCACACTCGTGATGCAATAAAGGGATTAGCTGAGTAGACAGCGGCAACTAGCTTAATGGCATGGCAGAATAGAATAGCTTTAGATATGCTTTTGGCTGAGCGGGACGGGGTTTGTGTTCTGTTTGGATATATGTGCTGTACTTTCATCTCCAACAACACAGCACCGGACGGGCCCGTGACCAAAGCGCTTGAGTGACCATCACCACGCTGGCGAACGAACTGGTTGAGAACTCTGGTATTGATAGCTCCATAAACGGTTAGTTTGATAACATATTTGGTAAATGGAAAACTATTGTTGTGACTATTCTGGGTGAAGTTATAGCTTCTATGGGTATACTTGTTCTTTGTGGATGTTGTCTTATTTCCTGTGTCTGAGGGTTGGTGAGAAACGGAGATGGAGAAGGTGGTTTCCAAACAGATGGTGAGATACGGCCCAATCCCGGACTCCGACCTAAGGAATGAAGGATATGACCTACCAGGCTTGGTGGAGTGACACTCTAGAGGGTGTCTAAAGGGGGCCAAAATTTACTTCCCTGTTGGTGTTTTATGTTTTAATAATCTTATGTTTTGTGTTCTATTAATCCTGTGTTTTATGCTTTATTAATCAAGTTAACCATTGAGAATGTTTGTCTTTCCTTATGTGAAGGTTTGAAGTGCCTGGGTGACTTGTGGCCAACCGTTTGCAAGTTGGGTGTAGATGGAAGGACTGAAGGACTTTTGTTATCAAATTGTCTATTAATAAAAGTGTTTATTTTTGTTTGTATTGTATTTTAATGAGTGACACCCTAGAGGGTGTCAAAAGGGGGAATTGTTGGGTTTTATTTTTCTCATAATTGGATCTGTATGTGATGAATAGCTTGGAAGGAATGCATTAATGAGGAGCACTGTACTGATATGGATTGTTTCACATAACAGGCTGTTATTCATGTGGGGAACGTTGGGGGTAGGACAGATAAGACTTGTGTTTCTTGCAGATGCGAACACTCTCTCTTTGTAGTCTGTGAAACTGTCCTTGAACACGGAGTACAGTGGAATGGTGTCTTTTCGGTGCTGACTCCGCAGGTTATTATCATAGCAACTATGCCTGGCAACAAATGGAGTGCCAAGGAGTTGGGACCAACCCCTGCGCCAACGGATTGGCTGAAATGGAGTCTGGACCACACTCAGTCCTTTGCTCTGGTTGGCCAACAGAAGAGGTGGAGGCTTTCTGTCAGAGTATTTGAGAAAGAATCTGTAAACAATAATTCTAGTTCTCTGTCGGCCCTGCGTGGTTTTTCAGTGAGCCCGTATACGAACCTTCATACTTATCATACATACATTTTGCATATAATAAATTAAGCTTGGATTGAAGATCTCTTGATTCTTATTCCAATACCAGATTTGAATTACGCAATTTCTAACAATAGCTGCTATAGGATGTTTCTCTGCAATTCAACTTTTGATTAGGGTGGGGTGGGGGCAGGAGTCAGGAGTCAGGCGGAATCAGGTGCAAAATGGTGGTACAGGTACAGAAGGTGAATAAAGCTGGATCCAAAGTTTTAGCCTTGTAGCCTACAAGACTTTGATGAACACTGACATTAAGACTCTTTCATAATAATATGCTAAACAGATCAACTAAATGAACAATACACACATCATATTGATGCTGAAACATTTCAGAATGTTTAGCTTAAAATGTTGATCAACTGTGATGCGTGATTTGAAGGAGTCAGGCGCTGGAGGGTAAATCACAGTATACAGAGTTTATTCTGTAATCCAGCCTAACCAGTCTAGTGCGCAAAACAGGCGCACTGGAACAAACATGCACAAAGGGAAAATACCTCGGCAATACAAAATACTGAGCTCAACTGAGCTACTAATCCTCACAATGAACAATCACCCACAAGGACAAGGGGGGCAGAGGGAACACTTAAACACGTACTAATGAGGGAATATGAACCAGGTGTGTGTGATTGAAAAGACAAGACAAATGGGATGATGAGATATGAAGCGGCAGTGGCTAGAAGGCTGGTGATGACGAACGCCGAAGCCTGCCCGAACAAGGAGGGGAGGCAGCTTCGGAGGAAGTCATGACAGTACCCGCCCCTTGACGCGCAGCTCCAGCAGTGTGCCGACCCCGGCCTCGGGGACGGCCAGGAGGACACGGAGCAGGGCGAGCCGGATGGCGACGGTAGAAATCCTGCAACAGGGAGGGATCGAGGATATCCCTCACTGGGACCCAGCACCGTTCCTCCGAACTGTACCCCTCCCACTCCACGAGGTACTGAAGGCCCCCCACCCGACGCCTCGAATCCAGGATGGAACGAACGGAGTACGCCAGGGCCCCCTCGATGTCCAGAGGAGCCAGAGGGACCTCCCGCACCTCAGACTCCTGGAGCGGCCCAGCCACCACCGGCCTGAGGAGAGACACATGAAACGAGGGGTTAATACGGTAATCATGGGGGAGTAATAACCTATAGGTAACCTTGTTGATTCTCCTCAGGACTTTGAACGGCCCCACAAAACGTGGGCTCAACTTCCAGCAGGGCAGGCGGAGGGGCAGATTCCGGGTCGAGAGCCAGACCCGATGCCCCGGTACAAAGACCGGGACCTCACTGCGGTGGCAGTCAGCGGTGGCCTTCTGACGACGCATGGCGTGTTGGAGGTGGACGTGGGCAGCGTCCCACGTCTCCTCCGTGTGTCGAAACCAGTCATCCACCGCAGGAGCCTCGGTCTGGCTCTGGTGCCACGGTGCCAGAACCGTTTGGTAACCTAAAACACATTGGAATTGCATTAGGTTAGTGGAGGAGTGACGGAGAGAGTTCTGGGCATATTCGGCCCATGGCATTAGGACCGCAGGAACCTACCCACATCCTGATTTACCCGTTCCACCTTCCCATTAGACTCGGGGTGGAAACCAGAGGTCAGGCTGACCGAGACCCCCAGACGTTCCATGAACTCCTTCCAGAACTTGGATGTGAACTGGGGACCCCGGTCAGACACTACATCCTCTGGTACCCGTAGTGCCAGAATACGTGTGTAAACAGGGCCTCCGCAGTTTGCAGGGCCATGGGGAGACAGGGCAGATGAAGGAGGCAGCAGGCCTTGGAAAAGCGGTCCACAATGACTTTGGGAGAGGGGAAGATCGGTAAGGAAATCAACACTCAGGTGTCGTCGTTGTGGAACTGGTAAAGGTTGTAACTTACCCGCTGGGAGGTGCCTAGGTGCCTTACTCTGGGCGCACACCGAGCAGGAGGAGACATACACCCTCACGTCCTTAGCCAAGGTAGGCCACCAGTACTTTCTGGTCAGGCAGCGCACTGTACAAAGCCCCAGATAAACCTCTGATAGTAGTTGGTGAAGCCAATAAAGCGCTGCACCTCCTTAACCGTGGTTGGAGTCGGCCAATTACGTACGGCTGAAATGCGATCTCCCTCCATCTCCACACCTGAGGTGGTAATGCGGTATCCGAGGAAGGAGACGGACTGCTGGAAAAACAGACACTTTTCTGCCTTTGCGTAAAGGTCATTTTCCAACAGTCGGGCCAGTACTTTGCGAACCAGGGACACATGCTCGGCGCGCATAGTGGAATACACCAGAATGTCATCGATGTAGACCACTACACTGCGACCAAGCATGTCCTGAAACACCTCGTTCACAAAGGACTGGAAGACGGATGGAGCATTCATCAAACCGTAGGTCATCACCAGGTATTCATAATGCCCCGTGGTTGTGCTGAATGCTGTCTTCCACTCATCCCCCTCTCGGACACACACCATGTTGTACGATCTAATTTGATGAAGAAGCGCGCCCCATGCATTGACTCGATCACTGAAGGAATGCGGGGGAGAGGATAACTAAATCGTATCGTCTCCTTGTTCAGTGATCGATAGTCAATGCAAGGGCGCAGACCGCCGTCTTTCTTCTTCACAAAAAATAAACTTGAGGAGGCGGGTGAAGTGGAGGGACGTATAAACCCCTGGCACAGGGACTCGGTGACGTTTGTTTCCATAGCCTTCGTTTCAGCCTGTGACAAGGGATAAACATGACTCCTGGGAGGCACAGCGTCTACCCGGAGGTTTATCGCGCAATCCCCCGCCCGATGAGGTGGTAACTTGGTTGCCTGCGTTTTGGAAAAAGCGTGCGCCAAATCGAGGTATTCGGGGGGAATGCACACGGTGGAGGTACTGTCTGGACTTTCCACCGTGGTTTCACCAACGGAAACACTGAGACACCTACCCTGACACTCTCGCGACCACCCTGTGAGAACCCTCTGCGGCCATGAGAATGTGGGGTTGTGGAGAGCTAACCAAGGGATACCTAGTACCACAGGGAAAACAGGAGACTCAATGATAAAAAATGTGACTTGCTCGCAATGAGTCTCGTGGGTAACCATGGTGATTGGTGCGGTAACTTCCCTAACAAATCGGACCCTAATGGTCGACTGTCAAGTGCTCTGATGGGGAGTGGAATGGATAGGGGAACCAATGAAATGCCTAGACTGTGTGAGAATGCCCTGTCCATAAAGTTCCCAGCTGCACCTGAATCGATTAGCGCCTTACACTGGGGAACTACAATGTGATCAGGAAAGTGGATGGGTAGGGTACAGTGCGCAGCAGAGGGCTCTGAACAAGTGTGGGTGTTCGATACCTGGGGTGATGCGAGAGTGCCCTGCCTGCCGCCTCCAGACCCAAAAGAACGCTGACGACATTGTGCGGTGTAATGTCCCTTCGTGACACCAGAGTGACACTGGTGCTGTCGTCCTCCGCTCTCTCGGATCACGGCTCCACCCAGCTCCATCAGCTCATGATCCGAGTTGGCCAGGGTTGGAACGGGCAGACCCCCTCCAGGACGTCCTCTGGCCGCCAGCAGGTTGTCCAAATGGATGGCCATGTCCACCAGTTGCGTGAAGGACAACATGGTGTCCCGGCAGGCTAGCTCGCTTCGGACGTCCTCCCGCAGAGAGCACCGGAAGTGGTCGAAACGGGCCCGCTCGTTCCACCCGGACCCAGCTGCTAGAGTCCGGAACTCCAAGGCGAAGTCCTGCGCAGTCCTCGTTCCCTGCCTCGGGTGGACCAGCCGCTCGCCCACCTCTCAACTTTCAGGCGGGTGATCGAAGACAGCCCGAAAGAGGCGAGCGAACTTAGTTGTCCAACGCGGCTCCTCCTTCATTCCAGACCACGTTGGCCCACTCCAGGGTTTTCCCCGAGAGGCAGGAGATGAGGGTGGACACCTTCTCCTACTCCGATGGGGCCGGCCTGATGCTGGAGAAGTAGAGCTCCAGTTGTCCCGTCGAACTCCCATGGTCGGGATATATGGATCCCTCTGGGTGCTGGGGTGTGGGTGGCTGGATCCGGTTGCCCAACTGGTCTCGACAGATTGGGTCCTCTCCTCTCCAGGCGTTGGACGACCGATCCATCGCTTCTCCCAAGCTGGCTAGCATTGTTGAATGCTCCTGGACCCGTGCCACGACTCCAGGCATGCGCTCCTCTCCTGCTGACTCCATTTCGGGTGGGTGATTCTGTGATGCGTGATTTGAAGGAGTCAGGCACAGGAGGGTAAATCACAGTATACAGAGTTTATTCCGTAATCCAGCGTAACCAGTCCAGTGTGCAAAACAGGCGCACTGGAACAAACACGCACACGGGGAAAATACCCCGGCAATACAAAATACTGAGCTCAACCGAGCTACTAATCCTCACAATGAACAATCACCCACAAGGACAAGGGGGGCAGAGGGAACACTTAAACACGTACTAATGAGGGGGATATGAACCAGGTGTGTGTAATTGACAAGACAAGACAAACGGGATGATGAGATATGGAGCGGCAGTAGCTAGAAGGCCGGTGTCGACGAACGCCGAAGCCTGCCCGAACAAGGACGGGAGGCAGCTACGGAGGAAGTCGTGACATCAATGATTATTTCTTCACATTATAAGTGCAGCAATGCGCACACGGCAGTAGTCTATACACATGAATGTTCCAAAATGCAATTAGCAGAAAACACCGTTCTCAAAAGTGTTTCATCGGACAGAGATGAAAATATCCGTTAGAACTTTTTAAAGAGGGAAGATCTAAAGATGCAACAACTAGCATGGATTGCTAATATGACTAGGATTGTGTCTTTGGTTGCTGGACAACGAAATAAAGTTGATTTCAAAACCAATAAAAAATGCGAGAAATACTGGTTTCTGTGTTTATAAAGTGTTTATAAGCTAATTCCCTCAACATTCCTATGTTTGGAACAATCTAAACATTGTTAGCTGACATGGCTAATGGAGTGACTGCAGTGACTGACAAAACAATATAAAAACTGCTGATGCACAACCAAATGTCAAACTTGCACCTTGTGTATTCTATTATTCTTGGAATGGCCTAGTCAAAGCCCAGACCTCAATCTAATTGAGAATATGTGGTATGACTTAAAGATTGCTGTACACCAGCGGAACCATCCAACTTGAAGGAGCTGGAGCAGTTTTGCCTTGAAGAATGGGCAAAAATCCCAGTGGCTAGATGGGCCAAGCTTATAGAGACATACCCCAAGAGACTTGCAGCTCTAATTGCTGCAAAAGGTGGCTCTACAAAGTATTGAGTTTGGGGGGGTGAATAGTTATGCACGCTCAAGTTTTCTGTTTTCCTGTCTTATTTCTTGTTTGTTTCACAATAAAAAATATTTTGCATCTTCAAAGTGGTAGGCATGTTGTGTAAATCAAATGATACAAACCCCCAAAAAATCATTTTTAATTCCAGGTTGTAAGGCTTCAAAATAGGAAAAATGCCAAGGGGGGTGAATACTTTAGAAACCACTGTATACAGTTTAAACCCTGGATTGCTGATGCTGTGTGTTGGCCATTGAGAGGCTTTGAATTCACCGGTCGGCCATATTGGCACTCCCCAGTACGAGCAGTCCTCCAAGGACAATATTACATGTATTTAAGTATTTTCTATTGTCGTGGGGACAGTAACATTAGTAATCTCAAAAAATATACTTTAAGGAACATGATTTTATACATATACAGTACCAGTCAAAAGTTTGGACACACATACTCATTCAAGGGTTTTTCTTTCTTTATTTTTTTAAACAATTTTTTACATTGTAGAATAATAGTGAAGACATCAAAACTATGAAATAACACATATGGAATCATGTAGTAACCCAAAAAGTGTTAATCAAATCAAAATATATGTTATATTTGAGATTCTTCAAATAGCCACCCTTTGCCTTTATGACAGCTTTGTACACTCTTGGCATTCTCTCAACCAGCTTCACCTGGAATGCTTTTCCAACAGTCTTGAAGGAGTTCCCACATATGCTGAGCACTTGTTGGCTGCTTTTCCTTCACTCTGTGGTCCGACTCATCCCAAACCATCTCAATTGGGTTGAGGTCAGGGGATTGTGGAGGCCAGGTCATCTGATGCAGCACTCCATCACTCTCCTTCTTGGTAAAATAGACCTTACACAGCCTGGAGGTGTGTTGGGTCATTGTCCTGTTGAAAAACAAATGATAGTCCCACTAAGCCCAAACCAGATGGGATGGCGTATCGCTGCAGAATGCTGTGGTAGCCATGCTGGTTAAGTGTGCCTTGAATTCTAAATAAATCACAGACATTGTCACCAGCAAAGCACCCCCACACCATAAAACCTCCTCCTCCATGCTTTACGGTGGGAACTACACATGCGGAGATCATCCTTTCACCCACACCGCGTCTCACAAAGACACAACGGTTTGAACCAAAAGTCTCCAAATTTCCACCGGTCTAATGTCCATTGCTTGTGTTTCTTGGTCCAAGCAGGACTCTCCTTCTTATTGGTGTCCTTTACTTGTGGTTTCTTTGCAGCAATTCGACCATGAAGGCCTGATTCACACAGTCTCCTCTGAACAGTTGATGTTGAGATGTGTCTGTTACTTGAACTCTGTGAAGTATTTATTTGGGCTGCAATTCCTGAGGCTAGTAACTCTAATGAACTTATCCTCTGCAGCATAGGTAACTCTAAGTCTTCCATTCCTGATGGCGTTTCTCATGAGAGCCAGTTTCATCATAGCGCTTGATGATTTTTGCTACTGCACTTGAAGAAACTTTCAAAGTTCTTGAAATGTTCCGTATTGACTGACCTTCATGTCTTAAAGTAATGATGGACTGTCGTTTCTCTTTGCTTATTTGAGCTGTTCTTGCCATAATATGGACTTGGTCTTTTACCAAATAGGGCTATCTTCTGTATACCCCCCCTACTGCCAAGAGTGTGCAAAGCTGTCATCAAGGCAAAGGGTGGCTACTTTGAAGAATCTCAAATATAAAATATATTTTGATTTGTTTAACACTTTTTTGGTTACTACATGATTCCATTTGTGTTATTTCATGATTTTGATGTCTTCACTATTATATACTTAATTACATAAGTATTCAGACCCTTTGCTATGAGACTTGAAATTGAGCTAAGGTGCTTCCTGTTTCCATTGATCATCCTTGAGATGTTTCTGCAACTTGATTGGAGTCCACCTGTGGTAAATTCTATTGATTGGACATGATTTGGAAAGACACACACCTGTCTATATAAGGTCCCACAGTTCAGTGCATGTCAGAGCAAAAACCAAGCCATGAGGTCGAAGGAATTGTCCGTAGAGCTCCGAGACAGATCTGGGGAAGGGTACCAAAAAATCTCTGCAGCATTGAAGGTCCCAAAGAACTCAGTGGCATCCATCATTATTAAATAGAAGAAGTTTGGAACCACCAAGACTCTTCCTAGAGCTGGCAACCCGGCCAAACTGAGCAATCGGGAAAAAAGGGCCTTGGTCAGGGAGGTGACCAAGAACCTGATGGTCCAAGATTGAACTCTTTGGCCTGAATGCCAAGCGTTACATCTGGAGGAAACCTGGCACCATCCCTACGGTGAAGCATGGTGGTGGCAGCATCTTGCTGTGGGGATGTTTTTCAGCGGCAGGGACTGGGACTGGTCAGGATGGATTGAAAGATGAACGGAGCAAAGTACGGAGAGATCTTTGATAAAAACCTGCTCCAGAATGCTCAGGATCTCAGACTGGGGCGAAGGTTCACCTTCCAACAGGACAACGACCTTAAGCACACAGCCAAGCCAATGCAAGAGTGGCTTCGGGACAAGTCTCTGAATGTCCTTGAGTGGCCCAGCCAGAGCCCGGACTTGAACCCGATCGAACATCTCTGGAGAGACCTGAAAATAGCTGTGCAGCGACGCTCCCCATCCAACCTGACAGAGCTTGAGAGGATCTGCAGAGAAGAATAGGAGAAACTCCCCAAATACAGGAGTGCCTTGTAGCGTCATACCCAAGAAGACTCAAGGCTGTAATTGCTTTTTATTTATACATTTGTAAATGTTTCTAAAAACTTGTTTTCGCTTTGTCATTATGGGGCACTGTGTGTAGATTGATGAGGGAAAAAAACAATTTAATCCATTTTAGAATAAGGCTGTAACGTAACAAAATGTGGAAAAAGTCAAGGGGTCTGAATACTTTCCGAATGCACTGTAAATAATTAGTTTGAATCAACATACCACGTTACAAACTGTTCCTCTCCTGGACATTATCATTGGATATTGATAGTGTAAATATTTTCAGCGAACTCGCAGTGCAGTTTTCCTTTATCTGCAATTGATTGATTTGTGGCCTTAGTACCAACGGTTGAAAATGTTATCCAGAGTACCTATAAATAGTTTGTTTTCTGAAATCCTCATTGAGTGCTTGTCTTTGTCTTGTCATTGTCTCCTTACAGTGAATTTTAGGGTCATCACCTTGGATACCAGTTTTAGCCCTGTCAATCAGCTGGTGAGTGTTCAAAATGTGAATTACATTTTTTTATCTTGCCCTTATTTTACCAGATAAGATGACTGAGAACACATTCTCATTTACAGCAACGACCTGGGGAATAGTTACATGGGAGAGGAGGGGGGATGAATGAGCCAATTAGAAGCTTGAATATTGAAAACAATGACCTATTTGGTCGTCCTTTAGATCCGTATCTTCACTATTTTAAAACAAAAAGACATACAGAAGAATCACAAGTATCCCAACATCACAATACTATGTGATAGACATAGCAATCAGGTATGTACAGCATCGTCCAACCAACTCAGTTGCCTTGTGGTTAGAGTGTCTGCCGTAAGATTGGAAGGTTTGGGGTTGAGCCATACCCAAGACTCTAAAAATGGGACCCGATGCCTCACTGCTTGGCACTCATCATTAAGGAGATGGATTGGGAGTAAAACCCAATGCCAGAAAATATTTTCTGTATTTCAGATTGTTCTGGTAATTCTAACCCAACCCTTCTCACATACTGTATGAACTTCATTGGGAGGAAGGATGTTTGATTTGCTTTTTATATTTGTATCACAAAACATTTAGTTTTAAATCATGATAAAGTGGTCATTTTAGGCCCTTTTTAGACCTAAACATGGCTTCTGTAAGACCCTATGATCCGTGAAACGAATGTGATACAGACAACATATTGGTGTCAATATACTCCTTATAGTGTGCTCTAAAATATGGAGTATGTCTAGATTCTGAAATATAATTTTTCACATTAATTTTTTCAACATTCAAAATATGAATATCTCAAAAGTACACTTTTTTATGTTATACATTTTTTAAAATCAGAATCACCTATTCGCCAAATACTTTTGTATGTACAGGAATTTGACTTGGTGTAATGGTGCTGCCACAATAAGAATATACAAACAGAGGATAAACAGGATATACAGACAACATACGTAGAAGAGATCCACATGCGGTACACAAATCCACATGCGGTATGTACACTAATTTAGCTACGTTTTTATAGTGAAGCTTGTAGTTCTTAGCTTACAGTGTAGTAAGCTAAGAACTACAAGCTTCGCTATAAAAACGTAGCTAAATTATGTATGTATAAATAAATAAAAAATGTACAGGATGATGTGCAATGGGGAAAATATATACAGTGGGGCCCAAAATTATTGACACCCTTGATAAAGATGATCAAAAATGACTGTATAAAATAAATAATTCCAATACTATACTTGATAAAAATGAGCCAAAAATGACTGTATAAAATAAATCATTCAAAAACTATATTGTATTTATACTATACTGACATGAAAATAGAGCTTTTGGCAATGCACACCAGTGGTGGGTTTGGCGTCAAAATGAGCATGCATGAGCAGAAAATAACCCCATACCTACTGTAAAATATGCTGGTGGATCTTTGATGTTATGGGGCTATTTTGCTTCCAATGGTCCTGGTGCCCTTGTTAAGGTCAACGGCATCATTAACTTTATCCAGTACAAGGTCGTTTTAGCCAAAAAATTGTTGCCTCTGCCAGAAGGCTGAAACTTGGCCGCAAGTGGATCTTCCAGCAAGACAATAACCCCAAGCACACATCAAAATCCACAAAGAAATGGTTAATTGGCCACAAAATTTACATTTTGCATGGCCATTCTCAGTCTACGGGCTTGAAACCCATTGAAAACCTGTGGTTTAAATTGAAGAGGGCAGCCCATAAGCGCAGACGAAGAATATCAAGGATCTGGAAGGATTCTGTATGGATGAATAGTCTAAGATTTCTCCCAATGTGTTCTCCAGCTCAGTGCCATTATCCTCACAAGGTGAGGTATTGAAAGATATTGAAAACAGGGGTGTCAATAATTTTGACCCTTACATTTGTTACATCCCCCCCCCCCCCCCCCCTTTTTATACACAACAGCTCTTTCTCTGATCAATTGTATATATATACATTTTTTTTTTTATTTAAATAAAATATAATTTCTCCATATTTCTTTGCATACAATATAGCTCAGTATTTGAATTATTTATTTTATACAGTAATTTCTGCTCATCTTTATCAAGGGTGCCAATCATTTTAGATCCCACTGTATATGAAAGTGTGCATATGAGGATGTGCAGAAAGTGCAAAGAGAAGTGTGCAGTTCTAGGATGATAGTGCAGGGTGTATAGTCCGTGGATGGATAGTGCAGAGTGCATAGTCCATGAATGAGAAGATCATCGTGGACAAGGTGGCCGGTTGGTGAGGGCCATGGCCCGGGGGAAGAAGCTGTTCAGGTGGCGGGAGGTTTTGGTAGTGATTGACCTGAACCATTTGCCAGAGGGAGTCTTTGGAAGGGGTGGAAGAGGTCGGTGATGATCTGTCCTGCACGCCTCCTTGCCCTGGAGTCGTGCAAGCCCTAGACGGAGGGCAGGTGGCAGCCGATGACCCTCTCAGCAGAGCGGACAATCCGTTGCAGTTTGCCCTTTGACCGGGCAGACGCATTCCCTAACCAGAGAGTGATCAAGGAGATAAGGATGTACTAGATGATGATTGTGTAGAACCGAATCAGTATTGCCCGTGAGAGTTAGAATTTCTTAAACTGACATAAGAAGTACATCCGCTGGTGTGTCTTATTGGTGATCGCTGTGATGTTGTCCTCTCACTTGAGGTTGTGGGAGATGATCATCCCCAGGAATTTTTATATCTCAGCCGTGCTTACAGCTGAGCCATTGATTTCAAGAGGGAGAGATGGTGAGGGACGCTTCCTGAAATCAATCACCATCTCCACAATGGTTTTAAACAATTGTACAGTACAATATACTCTACAAGTACTGTACATCAAATTTGGAAAATGGATTCAAAGGGTACTCCCTCTGCTGGTGATTTGCTGACTGTGATTAGTTAATGACCTATAATGTCAATTTCTATGTATAAAATGGGTCATATCTTCAAAGTAGCAGAGCACGTGTTTGAAGAGTATATTGTTCCAAACAATATGTCTAAAAATGAACTAAATCAAAAAGGGTACTTCTGTGATATTCATATAAATATTTTTAATGTAGTAAAATTGTATTTCAGAATCTAGACATGCCTCATATTTTAGAGCAGACTATAAGGAATATAATGAGTCTAAAAAGGGGGCTAATAGGTCAGTTTTCATTATGATAAAAAAAAATGCTTGTGATACAAATGTAAAAAGCATATCAAACATCCTTCCTCCACATGAAGTTTCTATGTGAGAATGGCCAGAACAATCTGATACCAAAAATATTTTCGGCCCTTCCTAGCGTGGAATCGCTCAGCATTCTGTCCAGGCTGCCTCACGCTACAGAATCAATCAATCAAATGTATTTATAAAGCCCTTTTTACATCAGCAGATGTCACAAAGTGCTTATACAGAAACCCAGCCTAAAACCCCAAACAGCAAGCAATGCAGATGTAGAAGCACCGTGGCTAGGAAAAACTCCCTAGAAAGGCAGGAACCTAGGAAGAAAGCTAAAGCGGAGGGGTGGCCAGTCCTCTTCTGGCTGTGCCGGGTGGAGTTTATAAGAGTACGTGGCCATTAAGGCCAGATCATTCTTCAAGATGTTCAAACATTCATAGATGACCAGCAGGGTCAAATAATAATCACAGTGGTTGTAGAGGGTGCAACTGTTCAGCACCTCAAGAGTACATTTCAGGGTTTTGAAGAAACATAGTCTTCTGAGCAGAGGGAAACATGTGAATGTCCCGGCTGTAAGGGTCTGGGTTGGGTGTGTGAGCCAGCGATAAAATCGATTAGTTTCTCCAGTGACCAGATAGGACAGACTGACCCTAGCCCCCCAGCACATAGACTATTGCAGCATAAATATTGGCGGTTGAGACAGGGGGGTCGGCGGACACTGGCTCGCTACTCCATCATGGTGTTCAGTAGAGAGGGCACCAGCACAGTGACAGTACAGTCTCCCAGTGGGGGACAGCACCTCTTCGAAGTGAACCAAAACAACAAGCTTCTCTCCTTGGTAGAGGAGAGGGCGCTGCAGGACACAGAAGGGAAGTACAGTGTGGAAGTGAAGGGCAGTGCTTGTGCCTCAGTGCAGGTCAGTGAATACACACCTCTCCTCCCAATCCTATGTTGCCAAAATATGGTTTAATCTATCACTAAAGCTACAGTCTGGGAATGTTTTTTCTGCAAAACAGCAGCCTTGTGCCACTTGATTTGGTATACAGCTGAGGGATGGGGCTGGGGAAACTCCTTGTGAACCATTTATGCTATATTCTTCAAGAATAGAAGTAACCATCATACATATATCCATATCCCAGACTGAAGAAGCCTCTCCTGACTTTTTTATAGTTTATGAAATATAATTTATTTCTAGCTCATAAAATGTTACTTTTTTATTTCCCAGGTGGCGCTCCACTACAACATCCCTACTCCTACTGACAGCACAACGCTCAGTATCCAGGTGAAGCCAGAGGTCGACTGCAACAGCAACTCTTTGAGACCCAGTCACGCTGAAATGTATATGGTGTTAATGTGACCTTTTTCCATGTAGCTCTTGCCTCTTTCATCTGTGAACCTTTCTGAAACTGGCTTTTTTTGTCCATGCAATATGAATGATCAGTGAATGGCTTGTCTTCAAAGCTGATGAGTTCACTTCTAGTGGATCGTGTCGATACTAAAGATGACCATGTGTTAATGTACTTGAGAGAGGTGAGACCAAACCATCCATCAGTTTGAAACAGTGCAAATAACACTTAATATAATGAGATTAATTTGTGTGGAATGACCTTCAAAGTCAGCAAAGCTATTCCTACCTTTCAACCACACCCTGGACATCATACAGCTAAGCTGCTAACGTTAGCCATCAAGCTAACGAAGTTAGTCCCAGATGAGTTTTCCAATGGCGCCCTCTTTGTCTGGAGAAGTAAATGAACGGTTCCAGCGCCGTAGGAGCTGTATCTACTACGCATTGTTTCGGGACAAACTGGATCACTCAATGTTCCAATGCGCCAATTGTTTGCTTGCAGAGGATTATAGGCTTGAGGTGGCTTCCTTGATCACGCAGGTCGCCAGCCAACGTAAGAAACTGGGGAAAACACAGTGTGGAATGTTGACCTTTTCTACAGTGGTGGCTGGACGGCGTTCACGCATGTTGGATGCATCTCCGTCTTGTCGTTTGTCGTTATCTGACTGGCCGGTGTTGCCCGGAGTTCGTTTGCCAGGGGAGCCGTCGCCTGGCTCTCCTCCCCCTGATAGCGGAGTCGAAGGAGCACAGCAAAAGGAGCATGGCAATCAACGATGGTCGCATGTCACGAGCCGTGGAAGCCGAAGACAGCGGCCTCCTGCAAAGCAGATGCAAACAACGAATAGTTTCGCCGCCCTGGAGCCTGATCTGAACGAGTGTGGGTGTTCGATACCTGGGGTGATGCGAGAGTGCCCTGCCTGCCGCCTCCAGACCCAAAAGAGCGTTGACGACTACGTGTGGTGTACTGTCCCTCCGCTCTCTCTGACGGCGGCTCCACCAAGCTCCATCAGCTCGGGATCCGAGTCGTCCGGGGTGGAAACGGGAAGACCCCTACCAGGACGTCCTCTGGCTGCCAGCAGGTTGTCCAAACGGATGGCCATGTCCATCAGTTGCGTGAAGGACAACATGGTGTCCCGGCAGGCTAGCTCCCATCGGACGTCCTCCCGCAGATGGCACCGGAAATGGTCGATCAGGGCCCGCTCATTCCATCCGGACCCCGCTTCAAGCATCCGAAACTCCAACGCGAAGTCCTGTGCCGTCCTCGTCCCCTGCCTCAGGTGGACCAGCCGCTCGCCCGCCTCTCGACCCTCGGGTGGGTTTTTTATTTATTTATTTTATTTTACCTTTATTTAACTAGGCAAGTTAGTTAAGAACAAATTCTTATTTACAATGACGACCTACACCGGCCAAACCCGGACGACGCTGGGCTAATTGTGCGCCGCCCTGTGGGACTCCCAATCACGGCCGGTTGTGATAAAGCCTGGAATCGAACCAGGGGGTCTGTAGTGACGCGTCCCCCAAGCTGGCCAGCATCGTGGAATGCTCCTGGACCCGTGCCACGACTCCAGGCATGCGTTCCTCTCCCGCTGACTCCATAGCGGGTGGGTGATTCTGTGATGAGTGTGATATAAGGAGTCAGGCGCAGGAGGGTAAATCACAGAATACAGAGTTTATTCCGTTGTCCACAAATGCGCTGGATAGCGACACATGGAAACAGGCACAGGGGAAACTATCTACCCTGGCAATACACGGTATGGGATACTCCAACAAATATACAGGCACAGGGGAAATATCTACCCCGGCAATACAAAGGGAGAGTAACTCCACTGAGCTACACTAATCTCTCAAATAACAATCACCCACAAGGACAAGGGGGGCAGAGGGAACACTTATACACGGACTAATGATTGGATAAGAACCAGGTGTGTGTAATTGACAAGACAAGACAAATGGAATGATGATATATGGAGTGGCAGTGGCTAGTAAGCCGGTGACGACGAATGCCGAAGCCTGCCCGAACAAGGAGGGGAGGCAGCCTCGGCAGAAGTCGTGACACTAACATAAATAACATGAGAATATCTACTTCTGCTAAGCTTCCCAGTAAAGCAATGAAAACAAGCAAGCATCCCAGAAAAGTGCTCAAAATAGCCCACGTTAACATATGTAGCTTAAGAAACAAGGTTCATGAAATTAAGAACTTGCTAGTAACAGATGACATTCGTATTCTGACTATCTCTGAAACTCACTTAGACAATACCTTTGATGATACAGTGGTAGCAATAGAAGGTTATAACATTTACAGAAAATACAGAAATGCCAGTGGTGGAGGTGTTGCTGTTTATGTTCAGAACCATGTTCCTGTAAAGTTTAGAGAGGATCTCATGTTAAATACTGTTGAAGTAATATGGCTACATGCATCTACCTCACCTAAAGCCCATTCTCGTGGGAAGCTGCTATTGACCACCAAATGCTAACAGTCAGTATCTGGATAACGTGTGAAATGCTTGATAATGTATGTGATATCAACAGAGAGGTATATTCTCTGGGTGATTTAAACATTGACTGGCTTTCATCAAGCTGCCCACTCAAGAAAAAGCTTCAAACTGTAACTAGTGCCTGCAACCTGGTTCAGGTTATCAGTCAACCTACCAGGGCAGTTACAAACAGCACAGGAATGAAATCATCAACATGTATTGGTCACATCTTTACTAATGCTGCAGAAATATGCTTGAAAGCAGTATCCAGATCCATCAGATGTAGTGATCACAATATAGTAGCCATATCTAGGAAAACCAAAGTTCCAAAGGCTGGGCCTAATATAATGTATAAGAGGTCATACAATAAGTGTTGTAGTGATTCCTATGTTGTTGATGTAAAGAATATTGTTGGTCCGTGGTGTGTAATGAGGAGCAAACAGACGTTGCACTTGACACATTTATGAAATTGCATATCCCAGTTACTAATAAGCATGCACCCATTAAGAAAATGACTGTAAAAACGGATAAATCCCAGTGGATTGATGAGGAATTGAAAAATGTTATTGTTGAGAGGGATGAGGCAAAAGGAATGTCAAATAAGTCTGGCTGCACAACCGATTGGCAAACGTACTGCAAATTGAGAAATCATGTGACTAAACTGAATAAAAAGAAGAAACAACACTATGAAACAAAGATAAATTACATAAAGAATGATAGTAAAGGGCTTCGCGAGTGGCGCAGCATCACTACAGACCCGAGTTCGATCCCAGGCTGAGTCACAGCCGGCCGTGACCGGGAGACCCATGAGGTGGTGCACAATTTGCCCAGCATTGTCCAGGTTAGGGGAGGGTTTGGCCGGCAGGGATTTCCTTGTCGCATCGAGCTCTAGCGATTCCTTGTGGCGGACCGGGCGCCTGCAAGCTGACTTCGGTCACCAGCTGGATGGTGTTTCCTCCGACACATTGTTGCGGCTGGCTTACGGGTTAAGCAAGCAGTGTGTCAAGATGCAGTGCGGCTTGGCAGGGTCGTGTTTCGGAGGACGCATGGCTCTCGACCTTCGCCTCTCCCGAGTCCATAGGGGAGTTGCAGCAATGGAACTAGACTGTAACTACTAATTGGGAAGGAAAAGGGGTAAATGTAACAAAAAAAAATGATAGTAAACAGCTTTGGAGCACCTTCAATGACATTTTTGGGGAAAAAGGCAAACTCAGCTCCATCATTCATTGAATCAGATGGCTCATTCAACACAAAGCCAACTGATATTGCCAACTACTTTAATTATTTTTTCATTGGCAAGATTAGCAAATGCTGACACTACACATCCAAGTATATCTGACCAAATTATGAAACACAAGAATTGTAATTTTGAATTCCGTAAAGTGAGTGTGGAAGAGATGAATTTTTTGTTATTGTAAATCAACAATGACAAGCCATTGGGGTCTGACAACTTGGATGGAAAATTACTGAGGATAATAGCGGACGAAATTGCCACTCCTATTTGCCATATCTTCAATTTAAGCCTACTAGAAAGTGTGTGCCCTCAGGCCTGGAGGGAAGCAAAAGTCATTTCGCTACCTAAGAATAGGTAAAGCTCCCTTTACTGACTCAAATAAAAGACCAATCAGCCTGTTACCAACCCTTAGTAAAGTTTTGGAAAAAATGGTGTTTGACCAGATACTATGCTATTTTACAGTAAACAAATTTGATTTGATTTGATTTGAAATTTACAAGCACGCTTATAGGGGAGGACATTCAACAAGCACAGCACTTACACAAATGACTGATGATTGGCTGAGAGAAATTGATGATAAAAGGATTGTGGGGGCTGTTTTGCTAGACTTCAGTTTGGCTTTTGACATTATTCGTCATAGTCTGCTGCTGGAATTGTGGATAAAGAGTTACCTGTCTAACAGAACACAGAGGGTGTTCTTAAATGGAAGCCTCTCCAACATAATCCAGGAAGAATCAGGAATTCCCCAGGGCAGCTGTCTAGGCCCCTTACTTTTTTTCAATCTTTACTAACGACATGCCACTGGCCTTGAGTAAAGCCAGTGTGTCTACGTATGCGGATGACTCAACACTATACACATCAGCTACTACAGCGACTGAAATGACTGCAACACTTAACAAAGAGCTGCAGTTAGTTTCAGAATGGGTGGCAAGGATTAAATTAGTCCTAAATATTTCAAAAACTAAAAGCATTGTATTTGGGACAAACCATTCACTAAACCCTAAACCTCAACTAAATCTTGTAATAAATAATGTGGAAATTGAGCAAATTGAGGTGACTAAACTGTTGGAGTAACCCTGGATTGTAAACGGTCATGGTCAAAACATATTGATACAATAGTAGCTAAGATGGGGAGAAGTCTGTCCATAATAAAGCGCTGCTCTACCTTCTTAACAGCGCTATCAACAAGGCAGGTCCTACAGCCTCTAGTTTTGTTGCACCTGGACTACTGTTCAGTCGTGTGGTCAGGTGCAACGAAGAGGGACTTAGGAAAATTGCAATTGGCTCAGAACAGGGCAGCACAG